TAAAGACAGACTGTCGGTGTTTGAACACTGCTGTCTACGCAGCATTGCACTAATCTGGTGTGGTAGCCAGATGAGCAATGCTGAGGTTGGGCTCAGAATTTTGGGTAGCCGCGGTCGCCCACTGGAGCAAGTGGTCGACCTCCATACATTACGCTGNCACGGCGAGCGATGTTCGCCGAAGCAGACACCGAGTGGTAAAAAGCCAAAGGTGGTCAAGCTAAGACCTGGCACGAGGGTATGAAAACCCTAACCAGGAAACTGGGTTACATAGGTCCTGTTAGGCTCCCTGGCTGGTGACCTCGGGATGACCGTAACCGATGGTTAGAGACACTGAGTGATATGGCTGGGTGTCGTAAACACTGGCTTTCGTGCATCTCAATTTCTTTGCAACCTTAGACCACTGAACTTCTCCATTTTCTGTTCGACTCCACTTTCAACTTTCCTTTCTTCTTTTCTTCATTCAACTGGACAGCCAAAAGACAGCAACCAAAAACCGACGCACAAATATGCGTGGTTAATGGTTGCACAAACTGAACTGAACTGAAATATTTCGTAATTAGTGTTTCAAAACTCGAATCTGTGAATTTTGGCGCCGGAAAAGCCTCAGACCACACCACCGGTCATATTCAATCTTTATTGGTCCATTCATTCATGATTCTACTTTCAAGCTAATTTTCAAGGTCATCGCTTGCCGGTCCCAAAACTGTACATAAACAGATGAGTTGTTCACAGCCTTCGTCTTTTACGCCGAGCCAAATACACAACCTCGTCAGAAGGCTTGTCTTTCGTCTTCTGTCTGATCGGGTTCAAGGATCGTACTACTCTTGCGGGGCATTCTTCCGGTTCTCTTTGGAATTGCGCTGGGTACTGCAGTCGGGCGTATTGATGTACTGTTTACTCGGTCGATGGGTCGTTACGGTTCCCGATCTTGGTTACTACTGCCGCACGTATCGTTTGGGTCACGGTTCCGGCCAGTCCGGCTGTATTGTCTATCTCAAAGTTAAAACAGATTTGGCGACGGGGTATTTCGTAAAAGCCAGGCAGGATGTCCAGCCCCGATATCAAACGTCTCATCCAATCATAGGCCAAGATGATCTAGGCTTTGTGCAAGCGGCTAGGCATGTTGACCCAGCCTTCTCCTTCCAATAACCCCGTCATAGGGCCATAACGCCAGAATGACGACAGAATTCGTGTACGATCCCGATAACGGTGTAACATTCGAGTCTTGGTGCAGTCAATATGAGGACGTGTTCACAGTTGAAACGGTCAATCGCAGGGACGACGCAGTGATCCGCCTGCTCCGCCGGAAACTTGGTCCGGCAGAGCACAGTCGCTACTGCAATTTGATCCTTCCGGATGAACCCCGTTCCCGTGATTTTCCCTTCACTGTCGATACTCTCACCAACATTTTTTGTGATTCTATCTTTTCCGTTGCCATTTCCAGTGCCTACAGGTTACCAAACGAGAGGCCGATGATTTCGTCCAATACCCAGGTATCATCAATCGTGCCTGCAGCCGGTTTCAACGTAATAAATATAAATAAAAATAATTAGGAAAAATAGGGGGAAGTCACTTTTACAGGGGAAAATGGTCTTTTCTCTATCATCTTGTCACTATGATAAACCCGCTAGGCGCAGTCCTGGCGGACTTGTTTATGGTACATCTGGAACAAAAGGCAAATAACAAATCACGAATCGCAAGATCGCGGAGGTCTGCAGAAAAGATTGCTCTCAGCCGAAAGAAGCCCCCTCTTGTGTCAACAAAAAGAAATTTACGTGAGTTTGTCCTTATCGTTGTGACATGGTCCTTTTACCCCTCGCCGTTTTGTGTTTGTTTGTTTTCATGTATTTTACTCTTCTGTGTTGCCATTCTAAAGCCCCATATAAGCACTGTATTGTTTAGGTATGCACCATGCTGAGATGCAGAAAAATCATCATGGACATAAATCTTGCAGCATTGCAATATGGAGTTTTCGTTTGAAATTTGTCTCGGGTAAAGTTTGCTCTAGTTTTCTCAAATCCAATTATGCATTGCTGAATGTATATATGTACGTTTTATGGCTGTGCGTGTGTGTTGTAGAAATAGGTGCCAGCATATGCGAATGTGAACGATGTTAAGCGAGTGAATAAGTAAAGTGTAAGCAAAATGCCAGTATCCCTGACGAATTGAATGACGAGTTTGAGTGGATGAATATGAATGCTATGTTCCCGTGTTATGGATAATACAATGTCACCATGTTACGTGAAGGCCTTGGGAGTGATGCACAGGTGCTTCAACATTGTCAGTAGTAGTCATACCCAGATTACATCCCTCGAACAGCCTCGGATGAACAGAACACGACCGTATGGGATTGAAATTTCCAGACCTCATCACTGGGCTACGCGGGCTTCCAGGCTACTTGATAAAGTTGAACATTTCCATGAAAACGAATGTACTGCTCTTTTATTCCCTTTGACATTACACGTGTATTCAGGATAACGAACTAACGAATTCGAACCAACTCCCTTGGACTGGGATTAGTGAGATAGTATATGAAGCCAAATAAAATAGACAATGTATTGAACTGAGTGCAGCAATGCTGTTTGCCATCATAATTGGGTGGGGATGGCGGGGTTCGAACCTCCAATCCGAGGGTCTGAAGCAAGCCAGTGGACACACAACTTGAACACTATACCCTAATACACAAACACACAAACATATACACACCGAACACAGCAACATAGGACTAAATAGAAGGGAGGAGAAAATGAACAGACCATAGCAGGAGAAAATTTCAGTTATATTGTATAAATTGTAAAGATGCAAACCAAATGTGATCACATTTCGAATTGAGCGAAGAACAAAAAGTGGGTACAAATTCGAACCTCATAAAAAAGAATCATAAAATCTAGTATAAAACACACGAATAGAGAGAGAGCACGTGTAAAAAATACTTTTCAAATGATTGCATTCGCCTTAATTCGATCAGGAATGAATTGTCCAAGAATAGAAAGACTAGAGTGCGATTTCGAGCACACACAAAAAAAACAGCAAAGCAGAATAAAAAAACAAGAGCTGGTCGGAATGTGAATAGAATTGAAAGTGTCCGATATGCACATTGACTGATTCGTCGTATCCAAGCGAATCGGTACCACAGGCTTCATGGAATCAATTCACAAGGAATACGAGTGATTGTCCTCGTTAATTGGTCGGCATCTGTTGACTCCGAAAGATGACGATGATGATGATGGTCTCGGCGGTGCTGATGACGATGATGATGACTGTGATCGAATTTAGAATGGGACCAATGAAACAATGTAGAACGCGAATGATGCAAACTGGAAGTGCGTCGAGGTAGTGAAGAGCAGCCAGTGGGCGTACGTAAATCATGCGTGGATGCAACCTTACGCCAACGTGATGTTGCACTATCCCCGCCAAAGTCAGACAAAGCCCACTCAGATGCCCAACGTGAAAACTTTCGATGTCCGGGGGTACGATGTGGCACATTGGGTGGTGCAGAGAACGGTATATCCTCATCAAAAGTGAACACGGCAGAATTGAAAGGGGACGGATGAAGGTCAACGGTCCATGGGGTTTTTGGTCCTAAATCCCAATCTAGAGCCCAATCACCAGCAGATGGAGGGATTGTGTCAGTACGCTCCGCATGCGGTTCCAAGTCGTCTTCTGGTACGCCCTCACTAGTTGTGGAACTGGGTGAGTAAAGACTACGAGTGGAATGATCCACAAGGCCGGGGTGAAATTTGTTGGGGTCTGGAAGAGCATCGAGGTTTATCGATCCGTTGGCACCGTCAGCAAATGAATTTCGACAAATGGTCGGATCGGTGGAATTGAGTACATGTGACACAGAATGATGATGCGTGAAAATATGCCCATGATGCAATTTGCGCGACTTGTGACCTGGACGAGAATTATGCAAATATCGCTCCCATGTGCTACGTTTCAGACGAATAGCATAAACGTGCTTCATCTGCGGCCAGAAAAAGAGGAGTAAGGGCGTAAAATGGTAGATAGAAAGATAGAGAAAGGTTTGAACGGAAGAGAGATACTGGAATGAGAAAAAAAGTACTATCTAATGGGATGTCACCGTTAGAACATTTTCATAGCGGGTTTATAGAGATCTCTAAAATCGACATTTTAATAAAACCTGCGAGAAAATGAACCAGAGATTTACAAAGGGTGAGATGTGACGATTATCAGTTATATGAAAGGAGAGATGGGGGAGGGATTCACTGGAGGGAAATCAGTATTGGCTTTTTTTATTACACACTTCTACGATGGGCGACCGAGCAGAGGGGACCCAATAGTCACGAAAACCGGTGATCTAAGCCCCGGGAATTGGGGTGGCGAACCATATAAGGGCCCTCCACGTTGAGCGCGGTGCTGAACCAGACGGCAGCAAAGCTATCTACCACCAAAGTTGGGTGGCGGTGGAGGGGCTCGAACTCAAAACCATAAAGTCTAGAGCACGCCGNGATAGTGACCAGACCGCTGCACCGCCAAGACCGCCTCCGGTGGTCTTTGAAGAGAACGATGGGGCATATGGTGAGACAGAAAGAACCGGCGTCTCTCGTTGGAGAATTTTCTGGTCCCTATGGAGCAGCCCTCCAGTGTTTTTTTGTTTTTGGCCCAGCACCGAACTCTTATCTACGACTCACCAAGTGGACAGCAACCATACCATGGCAAAATACTAGGCAGGTAAAATAAAGCAAATAATGGATTTTTGTAACACATCATTTTGTGTGATGAAAAGTAGACATGAAGACTTGCTTTTCATTCACAGAACCCGGTGATCTAAGCCCCGAGACTTGAAGTAGCGAACCACATAAGGTACTTGTATTTGTCTTGAAGTTATAGAAAGCAATATACAAGCTTTTAGCCCAAAAGAAACCACTGGCACAATGCTGACAAAAAAGGAAAACTGAAACATATGAGCCCCTTTATCTAATCCGTTAGAACACAGAGAGAAGACAAACGCCGCGAGATGTTACCATTTCTCATCTCCTCAGTCGCTACGACGTGCGAAACAATCTGATAAAGGATAAAAAGCGAGACATCCAGCAAAGAACAAGTGTGAATCAGCTACTAAATGCATTATAAAGCTTAGAAACAACACGCTACTTTCCAGTCACTGTTCGGGCAAGATAGGATAACAAGGAATTTCTGTAGACAGATATGCAAGATGAGATAAGTCTATATGTGAAACGGGTGGAGGGATGGGATTTTCGTGCGCACAGGTTCATGTGTAAAGGATGGGTGCTACAAACTAGAATTCTATTAGCAAATTTCAAGCATGCATCAATATGATGAGGTAATGAACCGGGTGACAGCAAACCCACCCGCCACAAAAGCTGGGTGGCGGTGGTGGGGTTCGAATCTCGAATCCTAAGACCCAAAGGATGCCAGTGACGGCAACTTAGACCACTTGGTCACTGCCACCACCCTACTTTTGTGAAGATTGCTATACTGTGAGTTGTTTGGTACATACTTTGGACCCAGAATAATGTGAACTATGACATAACATTAGTAATCTACATATGTACTACCTGATTTTGATTTCATGCACAAATATTGCGGAATAGAGATAAGGCGTATAAGGGAGGCAAACACTGTCAACAGAAGTTGGGCATTATCGAAGACAGTGATGGATGGTGCAAAGCGATAAACTGTGATAAGTTAATGAAGATATCCCAGGGCTGCGGTGCATCAGATATCCAAACGTTCAAGCTTGTCATTAGCGGGCATTGAATTACAGGGAAATGTGCTATTCATGATTTCCTATATCTCTAGTTCTAGTTTGAAGGATAACCTTATTGTATAGCATTAAACTTTGAACCGAATGGGGAAATAACCATTTCTATTGGCAGAATACAAAATCCGACCCTTTATTCCATGTAAAATAATCGATTTGTAGTGAAGCATTGGGATCGTAAAATCAGTCTCTATTGTTTATACATCAGTCAAATGGTGAGAGCAGTGTGCATGCAAAGGAGAAGTGATGAAGGACAGCAGAACACCAGGGCACCTATATAAAATGTAAATCAACCGCTTTTTGCATAATCCATGCACTAAGTTATATAACATGCAAATGGTTTGCAATACAATTGGAGAAATATACCTCAGAGAGGAAATTCAATGTCTTCCCGGTTGCTCAACTTTTCTACTGATTCAAACGATGGATTATTTGCTTGATAATATGGTTACGAGTGGGCATCTCAAGTCATGACTGATCACCCTTCCGTTGCACCCTGTGAAACGACCTTATACAAACAAGTCTCGAAAGCGCCTTTACCCAAAAAACCCTACTCACAGCATTCACAGAACGGAAGTGTTTTTCTATAAATGTGAGAAGACGTAAACCTAGAATCCGGGGCTATAACAATGCTGGTGAACTGCTGACAGTCCGCCTAGTAGAGTCAGCTACAAGCCCTGTTCTTAAACCAGCCACATCTTCTTGCATCGAGTGCTAGACACTGGCTTGATTGGGTCTCAGGTTTTGCTGCCCCCCCCCTCTCGGAGATATATGTTCCC